ACATCTGACATCTGCACACCCACCCCCCCACCACCCCCACCCCCGTCAGCCCATACTTGGCTTGCATATAACTTTTTATTTTTAAGCTAACCCTTTTAGCAATTCTTACTCTGAAGACAATCATTGAGTAACAACTTAGGAAAAGTTGGATTTAAGGTGGATTTGTGTAWGCCAACTAGAATAAAAGGAAACAATAACTGTAGTCAGGAATAAGTTCTAGAACTTTCTAAAATGTAAGAATTCCATAGAATGATTTCCATTACTTTAATGGCACCCATAATACCAGAAAAAAAAAAAAAAACCTGATAGTGCTCTAAGAACAGTAATACTGTAAGACCTACAGGGTGACATATGAAAGAAAGTTTTTGGAGCCAGGCAGCCTCAAGCCTGAATCCYAGCTCTACTGCACATTAGCTATACAACATGGCACAAGTCACACAGCCTGTCTGTTCCCTTGCCCATAAAGGACATAAGCCTAACTTCAAAAAGTTGTTTCAAGGATTAAATGTAGAAAATGAGCTCATTACAAATTTCAAAAATGGCAGCTACTAATATTAATGAACACCTCACAGTCCATTTATGGGCCCACACTTAATAAGACTGCTTTAAGTCCCAGGGAATGAGTTCAACTTGGTCTCAAGTTCTCTGTTGTTTTGATGTAATCAGAGACTTTCAGTAAGTCTAGTAATTCACCTATAAATGAGTTTTCTTTAGGTGGATCTCGGTCTGCACACGCTGCCTATTCTGTGAATCAGCTTCCTTTGAAGTGGACCTTGGTATTTTCTTCCCAATTTCACAAACCACAGGAAACACTTTATGTATAACACTGCCCTCTAGTGATTAGAATAACTTTTTCTAGTTATCTGTTCAACTGTAACCCTTTGTTTAAAAAAATAATAAAGAAGTAAAATAAAAAATTAAAATCTGGTTACTTATCCACCAGCCCAAGAAAAACTTTTCCTGGAAATTTGGTGGAATCAACCAGTTACCCCTGATCTTATCCTCTTAATCAAAGCATCTAACTGTGTCAGAGTTACCATCTAAAACTACAAGAGCACAGGTGGAACACTTACAAGTGCTATAATCCCAGTGATTTGGGAGGCATAGATAGGAGGATCACAAGTTCAAAGCCAGTCTTAGCAATTTAGCCACACTCTGTCTCAAAATAAAAAAAATAAAAAGGACTGGCTCAGTGGTAAAGCAACCCTGGAGTCAATCCACAGTATTGGGAAAAAAAGTGTGGGCTGTGTTAGGGATGATCATTTATTTAGTCCACATTTCCCCTTCAATACCCCAAAACTCTTTGAAAAACTTGGCCTTCTTATACCTTTTATTTCTTCTATTTTTACAATAAAGCATGTATTTGTGTATCTACACAATGTGAACCCACATTTCCAAGGGAGGGAGAAAAGAATCTGTCTGGATTGTTAAAATAGAAACTCTGCATTGA